TAAAAAAAAAGCAACACAACGTAAACTTATCAACTAAAAGCGCTAGATCTTAGGGATTTATTGGAAGGGAACATCATAATTGCAAATCATATAAACATGCAAGAAATTAATGAACCATCATTCTCGACATTAAAATTTTTTTTTATCCTAACAAATTCTAAACTATATACATAATATTTTGAGTAAATAATATAATATTAGTTACATTTTTATAAAAAATTTAAAGTGAAAAATGAAAAGCGGTATTTTTAAAAAAGGTTTTTAAAAAACCGAGTCATGACACGAATAAACATCTTATATGGCATGCTTATGAATCAACAATTAAGGCATGGACGCAACAATTTGTTCGTGGCTAAATGTTGACTGATTTAAGTTTGGAATAAAATCATGGTGTGGTTACTACTGAATGATCTAAATTGTATAAAGATTTTAACAAACAAACACAATTACTTTGTCTAAATTGATATGGTTATAACGCCCACGTTGAGAATCTAATTCAGACATATTAGCTGTTAGAATGGAATATGACTTTTTTCCCCCGTTTCCCTCAAATTGGTATCCAGTGAATTACAATCAAATATAGAATGGAGAAGAACAATCAGACATGACATGATCCGTCGTTGGCCTAACTCATTATTGTTATCACTGGGCATATGTGGAAGTTGATGAATCAATCAAATTGTGTGCGTGCACAGTGCATTTCGTGAAATTATTGTGATTTTGTATTATTATTTTTGTATCTAAACTCAATTAAAAAATATGAGAAATTTAAAAAAATACCACTTTTCAAGTGCCATTTTACAAAAATGCACACTTTTAAAATCTTTACAAAAATACCACTTTTTCAAAAAAAAAATTTTTAATATTATTTATGTTTGGGTTAACTATGTTATATTAGGGTTTAGTTATGAGGGTTTATGAGGTTTTAGGGGTCAAAACATTTTTTAGAGTTTAGAATTTTAAGATATAAGGTTTAAAAATATATAATTATTAGCATTTTTGCAAATGAACACTCATAAGTAGCATTTTTGCAAATGTACACATAAAAGGTGGCATTTTTACAATTTTTCCATTAAATATATGAATTTAATCAAATACAAGTAAAATACAAAAAAAAACTAAAAATGTCAGACAGAAACAAAATTGCGATTGGTTTCTTCTCTTTCTCCTGATTTTCAACCATAAAAATCGAATAGTATTTTAGGTTTCTTACAATTGTCCATCCATATATACAACTGTGCAGGGTATTTACAGTCGC